TTCTGATTCGCCCAAAATACCACTTAAAATGGAATCTTGTGGAAATTCGTAGGATGGCAAGGCAGTGTCTCACATACAACTCTTTCGTGCAAACACTCAGATTAAGGTCATATTGAGGTCAAAATTAAAATTAAAATTGTCATAATTGTTTACTCCTTTAGGATATTTTAACACTATTTAAGGGATATATGTGGTATGGTAAGGCGTTGTGTAGCTTACTACTCTAGGGTCAATACAGCCAAGGTCATGGTCATATTTGGGTCAAAGGTCATATTCATTGTCTGTGCCATAACTAACTAAACATATCTCAATGAAATTTAGGGGAAATATGTAGGATGATAAGGCGATGGCAGTACAGCCAAGGATGTCGATATTGATTTCTAAGGTCAAATCCATTGCTAATTGCAAGGGCCATAACTCATTATATATAAGTTTAAGGAATAGATGTAGGATTGCAGCAAGACAGTTTTTTGTAAATCACAATTGAGTCTGTAAGGTTAAGGTCACATTGAGGTCTTAGGTAAAATTCATAACTTCTTACTCACTGAAGATATCTAAATGCAATTTAATAGATAATGTATATGTAGGATGTCAAGGGAGTTTGTGCAATCCCGATTCGGTCCATAAACCAAAGTCTAATTGAGGTAAATAGTCAAATTCATTGTCTGAGCCACCATTTCGGACTCGCTGAAGTTGGCTATTATAATGAAATTTTAGAATTAAACATTGGATGACAAGACAGTGTGTCGAAAACCATAATTAGGTTTGTAGCCAAAGGTCATGAGAACACGAAGTCAAAATGTAAAATACACTGTTTGGACCATAAAACTTCTGACTTGCTGAAAATAGCCTAATGTATGATTTGACCTGTTTGGGTCTGTACTCCCAAGGTCTAGGTCACAGTGAGGTCACTGTCCGAGTGACCTCAGGAAGCATAATCTATGAATTTTACTGACTTTGTTGTTTCCAAAAGAAGAGAATGCTTTATGTCATGATAGGTATTGGAGGTAATTTGTAGCAGTAATGTTTATCAATCTCGATTTTGGCTATTGCTTTATGTTCTGTAGTTCTACTCACTCATTAATTCGGACTTAATAGAGACTCAAATAAGGTTAACTCCGCGATAGTAAGGTTGCCTGTATCGAGGTTCAAGTGTGTATATAATAAATGGACATCCTCACAGAAATAAATATCAACAGTTATCACAACCACGTTGGACACTACCTACCAAATATACTGGCTAGTATGTTAGTCCAAATTTGTTACAAATGAAACAACAAATCATCAAGTGAAACATAGAATTTCTTTATTTTGTGCAAATAGTTCATGAATAAAGCTGTATTATTTATATGTACCGACAAGCACGCGTTAATATGTTAGGTAGTACAAGTCTACAATACATCGAGAAAATATTAATTGCCGACTACCAACATATAAATAGTTGTCATTATAGGGATAACATTTTATAGGGATAAAATGAAAAATTACGTACTTCGCTCGTTCCGAAAGTACCGTTCGCCGTTTTCCAAATACATATTATTTGCTTATACTAGAACCGCCAGTGTTTAATGTACATTAATTTCACTCATTAGGAGGAATATCATTCATATTTGTTGGTGCTATATGTATTAATTAGAGTTTTGATGAAATGCATCCTACAGTTAATAATTTTGACGAAGTTGCTTACTGTTAGTTTAACTTTAACTAAGATAACACACATGTTTATGAAACACTGTCATCTTTTGTTTTAATTTGTTGTACTATTACATTCATGGATTGAAAAGAATAACATGAATAGCAAGTGACTTTCATATGAAAAAAATGAAAGCATTCGTAAATATATATATGAAAAACAAATTCAAACAATTCACTATAACATTGCATAATTATGAATGTAAACATGTTTGCCTTGCATAACTTCATGTGAAAGAAAATATAACATGCATAAATACATAGATGAAAACCCAATAAATACAATTCACTATCACTCAAAATTACCCCACTACAACACACAAGATGTCAAAACGTCTATATCTGATCGCTGAATGCACACATTGGTAAAGCAATTGTTCAGAACTTTACAGTACACAAAAACGAGTGTGTGGTTGTGGCAACAGATCAAAATATACCGGAGAATATGATATGACGTTTACACTAGATAATGTAGATCCAATGACATATTTCTATTTATATTTAATAGTCACATCTAGCTACCTTCTTGTTCGACGTATTTACGTCAAACACAGTAACAAAACGAAGGCTAAGTTTGATTTTAACCCACACAGGAAATGAAAACTTATTTTGCAAGGTTTCGAAAACTTTGTCAAGCAAATAGTTAAATGACCGGTGTCTCGACTCTTAACCATTGAAAACAACTCACTAAGCCACAGTGGGCCGAATCAGTCAAGTCAGCTGTCAAAATTCAAAGGGACATTTCTCCCAATTGAACTCTTTGCTGGACAAAGGAAACAGAGAGCTTGCAAAATAAGTTTTCAATTCCTGTTTGTGTTAGCTTTCATTATTCAATCCAAACTGATGAATCTTATTCCGAACAATAACAAAACGTTTACACTTCCCCACATGGTGCTTATTTTGAAAGGAAGTAATATAATAACATGTTTTTGATGTTGAAACGTTAGATTTATAAACGCGATTACATCTTTATCTAGTAAGTGCATAGTATGTTCTGCCAGCTAAAAAGACATGTCAATCTTGAAACATTTGTGTGTACTTACTACACATTACAACATTTTCTTCGACAACCACTATAGCTTTCCTCACTCCAAACTCATTTGAAAAACCTGATAGAAGTTCATATACATTTTGGTTTCCCACAAGAAGACCACATTGGACGTTATTTTTTTGGCCCATCTTCTAATTATGACGTCAAGTAACAATGCTTTGCGACGTCATATTTTTCGCAATTATTTCCCAGATAAAAAAGGAACTAGAGCTATCCCCGCTCGGGAAACAGGTAAACCCCCATATACACGTACATTGTATAATTAACATGTCATAATCTGTATTCTGGTGTAAAATTGTAATTCCATTACTTTGTTTGTACTTTTTGGGGTTGGTTTCCGGAACTATCAATTTTATCTCCCCCGTTGAGAGCACATTTTCCCACCATTTTCTTGCTAAAGAAAGAGTAAGTGTGATCACAGTCATATATACGCTTTAGTGTGTAGGCTTACTAAAACTACGAAAAGACTGCAATCAGGATATTATAATAAACCGATGCGAAAACGGGTAGAAATTCGGGAATCGGTAGAAATAGAACAAACTCATACAGTGGATAGGCAAAAATTGTATTTTTGTTATGTTTAAATCATAAGGAATAGGCAACAACATGAAGGGTTGGCACCACTGCATGGTACTGCCACTACATAAAAAATCGGGTTTCAAAGAAATCTATTTCAAAATGATCGAACGCATAGCCAAAGAATGTTTTGTCAAATCTTTTACGTAAATTGGTAAAATTCTCGTAAAAAGTTCGAAAACGCGAAAATTATGTCAGGTGGGCACGACTGCAAAAATTATGGTACTGCCTCTACACAAAAAAATCATAGAAATGTGTTGAAAAATTAGCAAATGCATAGACGGAAAAAGGTTTGTCATTTTTCTTTTAAAAAGTTGCGTAACTTCTGACAAATTCAAAGAAATCTATTAAAATAAGAGCAAATGGATAGCCGGACAAAAGCTTGTCAATTCTTTTACGTAAAGGGGCTCCCTATAACTCCCTATAAAAGTTACTAAATGTAAAACTACACATGATACTGTCACTATACATTTGTTTACACATATTTACTGTTTAGACCAATTTTCTTTTATCTGATGTTACCATGACTACAACAAAGTAAGCTCTTTCAAACCTACACTCTATTTTTTAAGATTCTGATTGAATACAATTTTTAACATATCAAATTGACACTGAGAAATGGGTAAAATGTTAAAACAAATATTAGAAATATATACATGGGTAAAAGAAGTAATATAAACGATAGCTTCTCGAATAACACTGGATCTTTGCAAACGAAAGAAATATGTATATATTTACCGTGGAGGCACGGTAGTCTAGTGGTAGGACGCCGGGCTCGTGACTGAAGCGTGAGGGGTTCGAGTCACGGTACGGTACTGTAGTGTATCTTTGAGCAAGATACTTTACTCGGCTTGTTCCAGTCTACTCATACTGTATATGAGTACGTGGTTGGGCAGTGCTAGAATTGTAGAATGCTAGCTGAGATCGCCGAAATGGCAGCACCGACTGTATGCTCCCCAGGGAGTGGAGAAAGATATTGGCTGGTTGCAAAGGCCCTATAACCACGGATAATAATTTATGAACCGCTTTGAGACGACCTACGAACTAGATTGTGATAAAGCGGTATATAAGAACCTCGAATTATTATTGATATTACTATTCATATAAGTTATATATAGTAGATAATAAATGATTACGAAGGAAAATATAGAATAAAATAATGAATATTTAAGATCTACCACTAGTAATATAAAAAGTAATATAAAAAGAAAAATTCTCAACGAGTCTTAAGTACTTTCATCTCGTCAAGGAAATTAAAATAAATATACAAAAATAAATAAACAACATTTGATATAGCGCCCTATTTAGCTAACATAAGCCACTATAAAGCGCTTTACAGTACATAGATATACAATTTTATACAGTCAATACAATTGGCATATATATACATCAATACAATATTGAGGAATTTGGAGGAGCTGCCTTATCAGGCGCTTACTACTAGTCCTATGCCACCTGGCTAATATCTCCCGATATGGATATGCCTGTGTGTGTGTGCTGGAGATGTATTGTGTTCTGTTTTGTATTGGGACCGTGCTTCCAACGGTATCATTTATAGTGCCACCTCACTTGAATGCTACAGCACAGATACCGCAAAGCCCACCCGGACCATTTTATACTCCACCTGGGTTGTTGGAGTTGGGTGGACAGGGGAAAAACACTTTCTCTAATATTCCATGTGTACGGCGACTTCGGGGATCGAACCCCGGCGGCCTGCTTGGAAGGCGGGAGTGTTAACCACTCGACCAATCCGCCCATTAAGAATCACTTTGACGAGATGAAAGTAATTAAGACTCATTGTTGAGAATTGTTCCTTTTTATAATCATTTCTTCGTCCGTAAGGATAATATTTCTGCTTTCATGATATAAACACAAAACCTAACAATTGTAAAATGGTATAATATAAACTACAAAACGAAGTAGAAAAGTTCAAAGTATGGAAGTCACTTCATTGCTTGTCTTATTTGATTTGTTAGTCTTAACTGCTATGATACTGTGATATTTGTTATATGACGTATTTGAAAACAAGATCTATTGCATTACAGTTTGTATGCTCTGTCATGACTGTTTATCACATCTTATTGCATCTTATAAGAGAACATAAGATGATATTGCTTTAATGATCGCGATAAACTCAAGTATCTCAAACGTTCAATCCACAAAACCATACAGTCACATGTCTAAACGGAAATTTTGTTTGATAAGAAAACAAACCACACAATTATTACTTATCCAGACATCTTGATTCTAAGCTTAATTCACCGGCAATATATATTGAAAGCACGCGTGGTAATTCAATACCACATTTTACCAATAACCCAGTACCCAGATATCATTGTCGCTGCACTCAGTCATAAAATGTTTTCAGGGATATAATCATTAAACATGTTGAATACCCTTCCTCAGGACTGCTGTAATATTCGATGAACTCTGTTATGTCTTCTGAACTCTTAAAAAGTGTAGTGTAGTCTAACGTATCTCGATGCCATTCTGGAAAAGACGTTTGACAACTTATTATTGTGATAATAATGCATAAATGCATATCGTACCATTGAATTATCGATACTAAATTGATAAGTTGTAGCTTTATTAAAAGGTAAATATACTAACTACCCAATAAGACTGTTTAAAAAATTGTGAAGTCGCATACCGCCGTAATGATAATCCTTCTGCAATTACAAATAACCTACTCATGTTTTCTATCTTTGATGATTGTGATGGCAGAGATCATTTAAAGCATACCAAACAATAAAAAATTACTGCAAGCGATACATAATACGAGTATTGACGTCTTTGTTGAAGACAAATTTATAATATTTGGAACATGTCTACTAAGTCCTATGCCATACATGCCACGATAGAAATTTAAAAAGGGTTTGTGGACACAACCTGCACAAGCAATGGTGTTTAAAATATGGAATTGATGAAATCTTTGGTTGAAAAATTTAGTCAGGCACTTGCGTAAAATAAAAATGTTTAATTCTCCTACTACTAAATAAATATATTTTAGCTGTTACATTGACCTTGAGCTTTTGACCTTGACAATCATCTGGTCTCCACAGATTGAAATTGATATCAGGAACTGTGGTGTGAAGTTTCATGATTTCGGTCGAACTTTTTAATCGGTACTTAACTTCAGGTTGATATCAGGAACACGTATGTGAAATGTCACGGAAATTGGATAGTGTGGTGAGAGAGACAATGTACACTTTTCCTATCATCATACAAAATAGTTCTGGCCTTGACCTTAAAACCTATGATAATGCCTTCTGTCTGGACCATTGAGATTGATATCAAGAATGTCGGATAGCACGGTGGATATCGTAATCGCCAAGAACCCCTTCTCCGCCGCTTAACCTTTCGGGAACACTAAAACTACGAAAAGACTGCAATCAGGATATTATAATAAACCGATGCGAAAACGGGTAGAAATTCGGGAATCGGTAGAAATAGAACAAACTCATACAGTGGATAGGCAAAAATTGTATTTTTGTTATGTTTAAATCATAAGGAATAGGCAACAACATGAAGGGTTGGCACCACTGCATGGTACTGCCACTACATAAAAAATCGGGTTTCAAAGAAATCTATTTCAAAATGATCGAACGCATAGCCAAAGAATGTTTTGTCAAATCTTTTACGTAAATTGGTAAACTTCTCTTGGTCTTATTAACTATTGCAGTGGTACCATTGTCTTTATATATAAGTTAAAAATTCATTTCATAGCGGACCCTAATTGTTTTAAATTTAAATGTTTTAAAATTGAGCTAGCCTTTGAAATACATATTATCTTGTCAGAAAAATATTTACATTCAGGTAGAATTTAAATACTCACATGAGAAACACGAGTTTGATCTCTTTTTCCGCCATGTCCTTCCTGTTGTCTAAATTTTCTGTATTTCTTTGCAAAATTTTTACCCATAGTGCCCAAAGCAGGAATCGTATCGTATATATCCTCCATATCGTCATTTCCCCCGAACGCCCCAGGTTCGTACCCGCCTCTTCGAAGGGTTTGGCTAAGATTTCCATTTTCCCTTTTCTTGAAATCTTCCGGCGTGTTAGGAAGTCTTCTGTTTCTAACCTCGTTCACAAAATGCTTTTGTAACGGCATACCAATAGCGAACCTCCGTTTTGGAATCTCTTTTTCGACATCGTTAAATTCCGTTCCTCTCCTCTCACTGTCTAAAAGACGGTCATTTGGTAGTGCTGTCCGCCTCAAAACGGACTTTAAGCATTTACCTGCTGCCCTGCTGTTTCTGGCAGATGTTCTATATGAACTACCCAATCCTGTCTGGCGGAGACTCTTTCCAAGAGGGTTATTGGAGCCTGGGATGTTCTTCGTGCCTTTCTCTTGTATATTCATGATGACTTCTTTCAAGGCACGCTGCGTTTGCTCTTTCTCTTGGTCCTCGTCGTCACTGTCCATCGGGTAATCGGGAATCGGCTCGGAATCTAATCTTTCACAAAATTCAAGCACTTTTTTCGCTAGCAATTTCGGGTGCCCCCTTTCTATGTCATTCTCGGTAACATTCTTTTGGAAGGGATTTGGAATATCTGTAATTGCAATCAAGTGTAGAAATGTTCCCCATCTGTGCATCAGCATACCGATGAATTGGATAACCAGAATGGTAACATAGAAGATGACAAACAACATGCCGAGGGCATCAATCTCAAGGTTGTTTTGGTTCACTTCGGCGTCATCCAGGTTACTCTGAAAAATGACATTAAATAATATGTATACGCTCTGTGATCATTTAAGTCTTCAAATATTTTTGATGTGATATGATTCACTTTGAGTCTCTCCCCATTTGAAGTAAGCTTAATACATTTGTAATATCAAAATCATTACAGACCCATGTTTTACATAGCAACAGAAATACTACGGAAACGCTGCTTAAATAATACAGCATGCTTCACAAACAGTACGGTTGATGCCTTGTAAGGATAGGTTCGTTAGTGAAACAAAAGAGGGCCTTATCGTTACAGCGAATATAGGTAAACAACATAATAGTACAGTGACATGTATCGCTCATCTTTATATTTAAGCAATCATGGCAAAAGATTTGATAAATCCTACGAGCATACCGTATAACGGGATATTTTCCCTGCAGTCTGTTTCCACTTTTTAACCACCGTAATGAGGGTGCATTTATCATTACAGCGAATATGAGTAAACAGCATAATAAACATAGTTCAGTGTAATTGATGTGAAATGCGATATTAGCACCAGACGGAAATTAATATCATTTGAGAAGCGCGACAGTTTGACTAGGCGTATCCAAATCTTTATGCTTATCAATTTATTTTCATAATAGGGTGAGGATATCAAATGTTTCCATGTTATAACCCAGGGACTCAGTCCCCAAGGGTGTTGCTAGACTCCAGGGTCAATCATAACTTATTTTCCCGTGTCTGCCGCTTTATGCCTAACAATTGTATATATAGTTATGGAGTGGGGATCTCATCTGTTCAAAAGTCATGACCAAGTATCCATGGTAGAATGTATGTTTTTGTCTCTTTATACTCAGCAATTGTATATATGTTGTTATTATTTGGTGGGGATCCTTTATTATTTCCAAGTTAAAATTGATGCTGCCTCTCAAATTAGGTTGATAGCCCACCGTACGTTTCAGATAAGAAGTCGCTTAAAGCGATATTGCCAAATTACCCCCTTTTGGCCCACCATTGGGTCAACCCTCGATTTGCAACATGTTGAATCTCCGCCATCGAATAATATGGTTGATATATATGTATCTCTGAGATTCAAAGAAGTTGTCACCTAAATAAATATTGCCAAGCTACCCCCTGTTAGTCGCGCCACTCAGCCTTTTCTTTGTACATTTTTGAATATCAACCATCTAGGAATTGTTCCGCTCAAATTTGGTTGAATTCGAATCGGCCGTTATGAAGAAGCTATTTTTGACGAACAGACGGACGATGGACGCCACTGTATTGCATGAGGTCACATTGGTCCTTCAGACCAGGAAATACCCTAACTTTAAAAGGAGCATGACACATTGTTTAATCTCAAATGATACGAGTATAGCCACAGTACAAACCCTTTAAATCATGAATGGATTTACCAACACTGCAAAGGCTACAGGTTATTGTTTTACATTTTCCGTTTTGCAAAGATAATTTAATGAATGTTAAACAAACTGAAAAGTCTCATGAAATACCACCCGTATCATGTTTTGATCTTGAGACCTGTTGGCGTTTTATCTGCGCGATATAATACCTGAAAAGTGTCATTTAATATGCTTCGATATATTTTATGTATGAATTGTAGGCCTGTTGTATAATTCATCAATCCCGTTGTTTGTTTTTGACAACCACTATTGCCTTAGTTTTTACATGTCAGTTCGATTTACATGTAAATATATGTACCTTAATTTTCTCAACATATCAATCAACGTGAACAAATGCAAATTGAAATACAAAAAGAGATTGGAATTGACCACTATTGATTGCATGGATGATATCCTAGATTTGGTGATTATAGTATGGAACGTCGTGGTAACGTCTTTACACATAAAGGTCGGCGATTTAGCCTCGTGGTAGAGAGTGAACCCTGCCACACTTCAACCGGCTAAAATCACACTTATTCAAACAATTGCAGTTTATGGAAAGGCAATAACGGCAGCTGTAATGATTTATCGTTCACCTACCGTGTCAGTCAATAAGCGAATTCACAGCTAAAACACAATATTGTTTTCTTTGCCGCTTCACAGAAGGGGGGTCGAGGTTAAATGCACACACATACGCACGTGGGTTGACAAAAATCTTAAACTTACTATGTAAATCGTAATCTACACCTAGGGAAAATGCTTTTTTTGAGACAATAACCAGAAAATCGCTTAGCCAGATGTGTCGATATTTTATGAACAGTATTAGTTTTAACCATGTTTTGTTCATTTTAATTTCACAGTTTACTTTTATTTTCAAGGAAGCTAGCAGACTATGCAGGCCAGGATCGCTCACCTGGTATCAATCTCACATTTCTAATATAAAAAGTGGACTAAAATACAGCTACAGGCAGAATATCAGTGTTTTACTCATCAGAACCTATTAAAAGATTTAAACATATGAAGCCTGTGACATTGAATGCCGAACAAGGACATTAGGTTGAACAGAGTTTAAAGTCGTCCAACCCAGCATGCTTCTGGCAAAATAGCATTGCCCTGGACCTTTTGGTTGTACAGAACAAGTCATTTAAAGATTTAAACATATATTTACCACTGCGACCTTAATTATGGGCGAAGGTCATTCATTTGAACAAACTTGGTAGTCCTTCTTCCCAGCATGTTAATGGCCAATTAACATCACCCTTGATCGTTTGCTTATTGAAAAGTCGTTTAAAGGTTAAATATATTTGACCCCTGTGACCTTGAAAAAAGGTGAAGGTAATTTATTTGAACAAACTTAGATCATTTGCAGAGTGGTTAGTTGATAATAAGCTTTCGTTGCATTTAGGTAAAACAGAGAGCATGCTTTTTGGAACGAAAAGAAAATTAAATCAAATTGATCATTTTGAAATAGTCGCAAACAATCATACCATCAATTCAACAAAATCTGTGAAGTATCTTGGAGCTTATATATATTGTTGTATATCTGGCGAAGAAATAGTAGAAAACATCGTGAAGAAAGTAAATTCTAGACTGACAGTTTTATACAGACAAAGTAAATGCCTAACTACAAAAACCAGACAAAGTTTATGTTCTGCACTTATACAGTGTCACCTAGATTATGCATGCTCCGCGTGGTACTCAGAATTAAACAAGAAAATGAAGAACACATTACAGGTTTTACAAAATAAAGTTGTCAGATTTATTAGCCAATTAGAACCCAGAACGAGTATCACTCCCACTGAACTGTCAAAGCTCAATATGTTAAATATAGAATATAGAGTCAAACAATTAAGACTCAATCATGTGCACAAAATATTTTTATGGAAAATGTACATCCTACTTAAACCTAAACTTCATAAAAGTGTCAGGTGTTCGTCAGCATAACACACGATCATGTCTTTTTAATTTTGTTGTTCCACCATGTTAAGGGAAAGATACATGTGCTTTTTATTTTAACGGGATCCATGACTGGAATAGTCTGCCTGACAAAATCAAGGGTATAAAATCCATATATGCATTTAAGGCAGTGAAGAAACATCTCGCTTTTAAATTTCAAAATTCATGCTGATAACACAATTATATGTGATTGCGGTGCACAAAACAAGTAGACTTTGCTGGTAGCGGGATCCCAAAGCCTAAGAAAACAAACTTTGTGTCACTGCAATCCACATGCTGACGACATCTGTACCGTATTATTTTTGTTATTTAGAAATACTTAGAAAGTCTCGCTACATATTTTAAGTTGGGCTAACTATTTAAACCTGAACATATATCTATATGTGTGTTTTTTAGATTATATAGTCATTACGGAATTACTATAGGTACTGACAATAAAGTTAATAGGATGTCAATCATTCTCTCCTGCCAAAATCGTTCCCCGTGATCAATATAACATGGACCCCATTGGAAATAAGCTTTCGAGCTTTCATGGACTATCCTCATGTTTATAGATCAATGGTTGTGTTGTTTTAATTGTAAAAATATATTACCTATATCTTAAAATCAGTTATGAATTTTAGTTTCATACATTATATAATATTTAAAGATAATACAATGTTTTATTACTGACGATAATTTAATTCATGTAGGTTCATAAGTATTTGAGCGTCCGGAGAGCTTGTAAGAAGGGAATGTCCAATCACCTGCTCATTGGACTGCTCCAAAAACCTGTGATATTCTGTTTAATATTTTAGTAATATATATGTATGTTGTACTGTAATATGTATGTCAACTGTCATGTTACATGTGTTTTCTATGATCTATTTCCTGAAATAAACATTATTATTATTATTTGGCACCCCTTCTTTTCAGTTTGCTTCTGGCCATATATAATCACCAAGGCATCTTGGTTATTTAGAAGAAGTTGTTTAAAGTAAAATATTGACGCCGGACGTCGCACCGCGGCAGGCCAGGTGAGCTCAAAACGTGTCAGCATATTAAGTCAAAAGTTACGCCAAGCAGAATATATAAAAAAAAAAATCAGGGCCATCTGTGAAGTGACAGTAATAAAGTATAACTTGCATAGGTTTTGGCGCTATTTCATCCCCAGTAGTGGCATTATTCCCATTGATGAATTGGACAACACTTTGCCCTGATTGGTTTAAATTTGCAAAGCCTAATTTATAAATGAAAATTTCTTTCGACTGCCGTAATTCCTACTGGCACCTCACAACCGTGCATTCTATCACACACAGTCCTCTTATGTACAAGCACCTGAATTATATTCGTTTCACAAATAGATATGTCTATATAGTGAAGCAACCGAACTCAAAATAGTTTAGTAGTTCAAAGTCATTTGGTTTTCCCCGTATTGCTAAACAATCATCGAACCAAACATTTTGTGTCGTGCAATGGCAGTTGGACTTTCGGCTGTTTTGTGACCAACAGAGAAACCCATTGGATCTTTAATTTCGTCAATGTTAGTATTTTATTCAATAATGATTGGTGACATACAAAAGGATATAACGGGGAACATTATATTTCATTTACGTGTAGAAAATTTGGCATTAGAATGTTGACTGTACAACAAAACATGCTGCCGACAACAGCATACAACACCCGTTTTGATCAATGTTTCATGTTC